ACAAATTTTCCACAACTACTTCTCGCAGATTGAATGCAAGTATAACACAAGAAAAAAACTACAAATGTAATTTTTCCCTTCCCAAAGTTAAGAAATGATGTGGTCAATATTCTATAAAATATATTGGCCCGAAAATATGGAATACAATTCCGACTCATATTAGATCTATACAGTCAAACATATTTAAAAAAGAATACAAAAAAAATTATTTGCATTCATAGTTAACTCAGTGTTTTCTTGTACATAAAAATGTATATACATATTTATATTTTTTTGGCTATTTCATTGACAAGCCTTATTAATTATTATGCTTCTATATTTATGTCACACGCAACGTAGTATTACCGTCATTGGTATAGTACAGGTGTGATGGTTCAAATGCCAAAATGGCAACAGTAACAGAAAGACTTCCCTGGCGGCGATGATAAAATACGAACATGGAGCCAACAGATTAGGTTTCAACTGGTACTGGTATTATTATACTCTGCAAATATCAAGTACAATAACGCGGTAAAACTCCACTACTCCAATAACTAGATACTTAAACTCCAATACAATTCAACGAGATCTGAACAACTCCCCTATATATACCCACACTGTCTATAAATAGACCATTACATCAGCATACATAATGAGTCTGGAATTTACTATAAATTTCTAGAATGTTCCATTACCTTCTATTGCCTCCTACAGTGTTCTATTACCTATTCAACCAGTTTCTAAACAAAATCTAGAATATTCCACCCAGACACAGTACGGTTCTAGAACATTCTCAGTAACACGGAAGTGTTAAATAAGTCGTATGCGACAATTTAAGAATGTGGAAACGGACTAGATTAGCAGTTACCTGACTGCTATTTTCCGATCCTATTCTCACTTATGTTCTTGCATTGTATTTAGTTTTTAATTCTATTTTTTCTTTTCATTGTATTGGTTATAATAAGGAGAATAAACTTATTATATTATTACTTGTATGCAATTAGGATAAATATACACTTGTGCAATATAATTTAGTCAAAGTATCAATACATTTATTGATCACCCTCTAAAATTGAAAGTAGACGTTACACATTCCTAGAACCCCGGTTGAGAGCAGTATTTGTAATCTTTGGAGCCGAGTTCATAATAAACAACAAAGCAAAACTTTAGATCCGAATTGTCAAGAATAATACATAAAGATATAAAACAAAATTGAAACAATAATATAGTGACAAATTTCTATGAATGTCCGCCACAAATATCTTGAATCAAAAGATATACGTACATTGGAAGTAAATGTCAATCGTGAGTTGGTAGGTGCTGCTATTGCCATGTGCTAAAACTAATGCACATTAATTCTTTGAATGTCTAGAAATTACATCGGTGATATGCCATTGATATGTCAATATCATATATATCGCTGTCATACTAAATTGCGTCATCATGCTCATTTCAGTTGAGGTACAGTGACTTGTGCACCATCCTGATTATTGTTGCGATTCCTTGTTGATCAAATGTGTCCTAAGACAAATTAACATGTAATGGTTCGATCTCATATCCTGACATCGTGTGGAGTTTAACACTAGTATTTCCATTACAATTGTATGCATCAAATCAGTTCTTGCATATCACCATGGTATCAAATGTGAACCATTCTTAAATCAGCGTAGTGACCAGTGAGGCCCTAAATGACACACACCTTTATGAATTTAGGGCGCGAATTCAGTTTTATTACAGACTCCCAGGGAACAAACATTTGTGATGTAATTCACTAGGGAATAGTCAAGGATAAATAAACGGGGACGGTCGATTCGTACCAAATCACATTCGTCCCACGAGTCGACATTTTATTTCCCGTCTTTGCGAGTTTTCGGGCCCATGGGGTATTATAAATTTATGGTAGTGAAATTTGTTGTATGTTTTATCTACCTATGTAATTCTTTCGTTGAAAACAGAAATAATGGTTACTTTCTAGGGGGACATACATAAATGTTTCATAAAAATGTAAAGTCACACCAGAAATAAATGCATTTCGAAAATTGCATAGTGTAACCGTTTGTATTATTTGATTATAGATTCCTGAGGAACAAATATTAGTGATGTAATTCACCCTGGTGGGGGAACAGGTGACAAAGATCAAAAACAAATTTGAGAGATTCCAAAAATGTTTTTAAACAATTTGAAGCACGTGAATTTCACGACGAACGTTTCAACTGGTTATCTCTGGTGTGACTCTACAACGTAATTTATGGCATGCGACAAAAAACGTAATTTAATGCACGCCATTGTTTAGGGGAATGGAAATGACTCGCTTTTGAGGGTGTCAAAATAAGCGTGGGTTAACACCATTTTTATGCTATGGAAAGTGAAAGCTTGAACAACGGGAATTTGTTTTATTTTTTCCAGTGTTGGCCATATTGTTATTAATTATTTGGCATAGTTTTTTTTAACGTTTTAGAACTGTTTTAGCATTGTATTCAGGTTTGTTGTATTTACACAAGCTGAGACCAGAACACCCGTTCGATTATAAAGCCATTTTCATTTGAAGTCTAACACCACGTGAGTGAAAAACAAACATTTTCTAATAACAATCACATTCGCGCCAAAGGGCATTGTAAACCCGAGTATACATACATGAGATTCAATGTCGGAAAGATGTATCAGCCCACTATCCTTCTATCCCCGGTATGGAAACGCTTCGCAGTCTATTGGCCCAATGCTGGTTGCGGGTAAATAAACATCTTGGACGAATATATGTTAACATAGATCTAGATTCCCAGTAGCCCTATACATCTATGCCCCAAAGTTGGAAGATTTTAGCATGGATGAACATATACCACAATGCATTGCGACCCACGGGTATTTTGGATGCATGAGTAAATTAATTTTTTCAGAATTATGTAAACAACGCCAATAAAATGGTTGCCATGTTCAGGGGCTCGCTTGTGAACCTAAAAGTGTTGTCAACCATCAAAATTTAATATATCATTATCACGCATGCACTGCCAGATTCTGCGTTATGCATGAAATCAAACGTAAAAGCAGGACAAACATAGGTTGCAGTGCTGTCAAAACATTGCATTGGATTCAACAAACACAAAACTATTTTTTGGCTATCTCCACACTTAATTAACACGGTTTTAAATATCAACATTGTCGCTAATAAAAAAAATGCCATGAATAAACCTTTCAACTCCAAATTGACACTACTCCTCAATGTAATTGCTTTATGCTAGTTCCAGGGTCTATTTATTTAACCATGGTTGCCAGTAGAATGTTTTGAATGCTGTATTACATTTGTACATGGTTTTGGGTTTAAAATTATTTTTATGTCTCAGTTGGTTTAATAGTACAAATTTTACATAATTCATTCTTGCGAAATCACTACCACATTGTTTTATTTTGCAGCATGTAAACATAAAATTGGTGTTATTGTTTGGA